ATTATTTTTATTTGTATTATTTCTATTGTTGTGCTTTTTATTTTATTTTTTTAATATTTTCTATCCATGGTTGGTTGAGTCTGCCAATACAAAGGGCCAACCATATATATATTCTGTGCAGTAGTGAGACTAATACCAGAAAGGTGCCAAGAGCTGACGGAAGCACCATCCTTCTATCTTCTTCAGCCAAGGGTCAATGCTAAGAACTCACATGCAGTTAGAATTAGGATCAGTTCCAGATTCAAAATGGTCAACACATCAGCAAGAGAAAGAACTAAGTAGTTATAAATCAACCATTTTTCATACATTCATATTTTCTAACCACAATGAATGTACTGGCAATTCAAACAGCTGTTACACAGATAAATTTGAGCTGCTTTCAATAACCAGCATCAAAGGTTACTTCACATATTCCTTTTCAAAATATATATATTACAAGAAAATAATATAAACATTTAGTAAACTTAGAAAGATACAAAACAATAGAAAAAGAATAGAAAAGGAAGGGTGGGTCCACTTATATTTTTGGATATAGCCACTATTACTCCTTTGGTTAAATTCCTTCCAGTCTTCTTCCTACCTATATATATTCTTTTAAAATTAACAAATGCCCCTCATTTGTCTCCCTTCCTGAGGAAAGAATCTTTCTTTATCCATCCTAGTACTCCTTTAAATTTAATCAAATATTTATTAAGTAAGTATAGCCTAAGAATGATAGTTATAATATCTCAGAGGGATCTGGATAAACTAAAAATATTTTCTTTATTGTAGGTACATTGTGGTATAATTATACTTTGCATCTGCCTCCTTTTCGTGTTTTGAAAATTAAACTAGCCACATTAAATAGAAGTTTAAAATTCTTTAAATAGAATCTCACATTTGACATATTTGCCTTTCTACAACAACACTGAGTGAGTGCTTACTACTCTCTTAATTGCAATATTATCAAAGGCATTTATAAAGAGGCCAGTTCAACCAAATACTACTTAAATGTTTGAGATTTTTAACCACCCTCTGAAAAATATGATTTTTGCTATAACTACATGTGAACCTTAGACAGTTAAACAAAATAATGTGATAATTAAATACCTGTTGGAAGACTACTGTGTCCCGATTTTGTAACAGGAGATTCTTGTACCACACTTCCTCGATTACCCACAGCATTTGACATCCAATTATAGAAACTCACAGATGATGGCTCAGATAGCAAGGGATGTTCAGATAACATATCAGTGGCCACCGTGTTTCCTGAAAATAAAGTTTCACTGAGCATAGTATTACTTATAAACTAAGGAGCAGAAAATATGATTTATGTAATTATTTTTGAAAAGTCAGGTTAAAATGTCTGTCTTTGCAAATGTTTTTAAACTCTCACTGCATGATGCTGACATTTGCATATTAGAGTATTAATAAATAGCTTATTTTTATTATAATGGGTGAAAATCCTACGTTGGCTGGTCTAGACAGCACCCACACCAAATGCCTAGGTTAACATTAGTCAGTATGGCAATTAAAAAATGTAAATTAAGGGCATGAAGACACCAAAAAGTTACCAACAGAACAACTGTTTCCTAAAGTATTTTCTCAAAGATAAGGTATAATATGTAAGATTAGTTATGTAATCAAAGAATATATCTAAATTAACTTAAGTCCTGTTTTTTTAAAAATTCCCCTGTAGAACTAGTAATTGTCAAATCTAGAGGATGTACCTGTTCTCGTTAGAGAGCTACTTTTCATAGCTGCACTGCTTCTCTGAGGAGTCCCTTCCAGGAGGTTGTGCAAGCTTGGGAAGCTTCCAGTCAGGTAGCTGAGTAGGCTCTCCTTCCTTGGACTCTCCTTTACTGACATCCCAGCACGTCCAACATGTACTGGAGAATCTGTGGCAGTGTCTCCACTGGTATAGCTCAGAGAATGATATGGATGAACGCCCTACAGAAGGAACAACACAGGGTTCTTCCTTATGCATACAACAAGGACTTCTGATATCTACAACTATTATCACTGTTGCTATTACTGCTAGCTAGTCTGCACATTAATACCAAAACTGATCATGTCTACTAGAATTGTGGTGAATCTCAAATATATGTAAAAATGTTTTACAACTCTATAGTATAATACTAATGGTCCCTTTTATTATCATTAATATTTTGAAACACATTCACTTATTTTAACCAGGGATAATCAATTCCCTTCTAAGTCTGAAGAGGGAGTCTGGTGACAAAACATACAGACCATAGAACAGTATATCAAACAGATGGTGGGAAATAACACACTAGTTAATACCTAAGGAGCAGTAGACAGAGCATCAGAATTTCAGAAAGTTATGGGTAGGGTGTTTGTGGAGGCGCTAAAGAACATCCCTATTGGTAGCAAAGAAAAAAGTAGCCTGAAATAATTCTTTACATAATTGCTATTTACTGAACCAGCAAACTCATACCCAGACACAATATCCCTTACACAAAATATTTCCTCAAAAAACTAACTAAAAATATATACTGAAAATGATCTGTAACATGTCTGCTACAAACAAAAGTAAGATCTAGGTAGTCATTGAATATAGAGAAAGGAAAGTTGTCTACCCTCCCTTCCCTGCAGTTTCTTACTGCAGTCAGCACAGACATCTACCTGGGAAGAAACCAGAGGCTTTTTGATAACAGCAGGGAACATAGAGGCAAATGCTACTGGTGCTGTGAAGAGGCCCTCTGAGGTATTAGCTTTCTCTGGAAAGCAGAAAGGTCTGTACATTTTTATATATCGTACCAGTCATCCTCACTTAAGTGGGAGAAGATGGAGGAAGGGTATTGATACACGTAGCCGGTCAAAGAGAACTTATGACATACTAATCACTTGCTATGCACGTTTCATATATTATCTTATTTAATTTAACAAGTCCTCCAAGGTGGGAGATTATTTCTGTCTTACAAATGAAGAAAAGTCACTTATATATTTACTAAGGAAAAAAACAGATTTTTAACCCATCATTTGCCTGACTTCTATCCCAAACTTCTTAACACTACACTATCATTCCCAGTATCCTAATAATGAATCTCTGTGTTACGTTTTCTCTGGAGAGTTCTAAAATGCCAAAAAGCAATTCTTTAATGAAAAACAAAAAATAAAAAACTGCAGAACTTTTCGATCTCTATCTGTTCTGTCATATTTAAGACAAGAATTTCAGATCAAACTAAAATATAGTATAAAAAAAGACTACACTGACAAAAAGATCCTGAAAAGCAAAGATTTGAAACAAAACACTTGGAATTTCAATTACTTGGAGGACTTTTACAACCCATAAACAAAAGAATGTACAAACAAATTCTGAAAAAGAACATTAACGACAAATCACCTAAATATAATCAGAGGGTTTGGAAAAACTGTCAATCAGGAAAAAAAGCTCAGACAGATTGAGGGGTTAAGAATTTAAAATGTCCTAGCCTTCTAACTATACTGTGAAAACAGAATAAGCCTAACCGTTCAAACTTTTAAAAAAATATATATTAAGCTATAATTGAATTATTTAATTAAAAGATTACTTACACAAAATAAAAACTGCAAAAGCACAAAAGACTATTCAGTAGAAAGTAAGTCTCTCCTGGACTCCATCCAGTCTTCTGGATTCCTTCCTGAGATGCCCTCTTAACTGTTTCTTATCTATCTTTCCATAAATCATTTATGCCCATATAAGCAGATATTGTTCTAAGAATTTTTCATATATTAACTCAGTTATTTCTCTGAACCTTCTGAAGGTAGGTTATTTCAACAACCCCCTGAAGGTTACTACTATAATCTCCATCTTGCAGATGAGAAAACTGACACATAGTGCACTTAAAAACTTGTTTAATCACAGAGCAACTAAGTGACAGAGACAGGATTCAAACTAGGGTAGTCCCTGAAGGTTACTACTATAATCTCCATCTTGCAGATGAGAAAACTGACACACAGTGCACTTAAAAACTTGTTTAGTCACAGAGCAACCAAGTGGCAGAGACAGGATTCAAACTAAGGTAGTCTGGCTCCCAAAATGGTAGTCTAACCACTTTACTGTATATTGTCTGTTACTGAGCATCCATTAAACTTCTTGAAACATAATTAAAATCTTTTTTTTTTTTTTTGTCTTTTTCCATGTCCGGCAACGGATCGCAACCCTCAGTGTCGCCCCCGCGCTGGACCGGGACCGGCACCGGGATCGCAACCCTCAGCGTTGCTCCCGTGCCTCGCTCAGCCAGCGAGCGGGAACCGGTCTGTATGTGGGATCCGAACGCTCGGGCGGGAGCGCCAACGTGCTTCCCAAGCATAGTGCGCCACCGGGCCAGCCCCCATAATTAAAATCTTAAGATAGCCTAACCCAAACCATATATTGATCACACTACCTAAAAGTCTTCTCATTAAAAGTGATTATTACAAGATTATCAACATTTTTCAAATTGGGTTTTATTGAATACAATATTCAATAAATTTAAAAGAGAACCCTAATGCTTGGTAGTTAAAGTACTCCTTATTCAATATTAGACACTGATGATAAAAGTTTCAAAGAAATATGTACACTAAAAGTTACTAATCAAGTTCATTTCAACATAAAAATACTATTTGAATATTTAGGATGGATACTGTTGTGGATTGAATTGTGTCCCCCCAAAACTCTCTGAAGCTTGAATTGTGTCCCCCAAGTTTTATGTATTAGAAACTTAGCCCCCACTGTGACTGTTAAGAGGGTGGGAAATCCTATTATGGTAATTGGAAGGTGGAGCCTTGAAGAGGTGATTGGGTTGTAGGACCATGCAGTAGTGAATGGATTAAAAATGGTGGTCAGAGGTGTGGTTCCGAGGGCTTTAAAAGAAGAGAGTAAGTCTCGCTCTCTCTGCTTCCACCATCTTGCAATGTGAGACCCCTGGGTCACTGTCTCTACCACCAGATGGATTTGTGCTTCCCAGCCTCAGAAACTGTAAGCAATAAATTCTGTTTTTCTTTATAAATCACCCAGTCTCAGGTATTTCTGTTACAGCAACACAAAAAGGAATAATACAGATACCTAAAATTAAGTTTGAGATAAAATTTTAAATCTTCTCTGTCAGTCTGAATAACTTTAACCAAAAACATCAACAAAATACCTTTATTTTTAATGCAGAGTCACTATGGGTATGAGTTTTAGAAAGTTTCCTCATTATCTCAGCTCCAGTTACAGGTCCAGAGCTACCAGGTGGGGGCCGATTAGCTGTTCCTTCTAGTAGCATTGTGTGTTCACTGACTGTGGCTGAAACAATTCAAAATAACGAGTGAGCTATAGATTATCACACATTTTCTTAAACATCAATCCCAGTGTTCCTGGTTGAATAACTATACTCAACTTCCATAATCCTTGACAAATTGTGAAATTTGCCATATTACTTACTCTTTTCTCTCTTTTACTCCCTAACCCCAATCCTCTCACTCATTCTCAAGAAAGGAATAGATGGCTTCTATTAGATTCACATATGCCATGCAAATGATACAGAGACCAAAAACCAACTCAACTAAGGTCAAAAAAATACAGAATTTTCATAGATTAACATAGGCATTTGCGGATAATTAGAAAAAATATACACTGCACTATTCTTTCAACTTTTGTGTATACTTGAAATTTTTCAAAATAAATAATAAAGCCTAACCTAGTCCTCATAACACATTTGTTTATTAAATATAAAGTTTTTTTTAAAAAACTGAGTAAAACATCGTATGTCAATGTTATGAAAGCTCTAATTTTAAGACTACTGTTCTTTCTCCTGGTACTTTTAATAGGTTTTCAAAACATCGTAAGATAAATTTCCATTGAATATTATATGTTATAATAATAATAAAAATTAACCTTTGGCAAAGAATTAAAGTATGCATGTACATTTCCAAAATGCATATGCACTGTCTTTGTTCCGACACAGCCATTTTGTTGACAGAATTGTAGGCTGAGTGCAGGCCCCTAAATTTACATAAATTCAGGATCAAAGAGGTACCAGGTTAAAAAACAGAGGTCCCTTTAGAAAAAGATGATATCAGGAACATGGTAAACAGACAAAGACCAATTTACAAAGGAGTTTTATGTGTTTTATTCAAAACATTCTAGTTGTACAAAAAAAGTCTTTTTGCTGGATAGATCAGGCAAAGAAGTCTATTGTATTTCCCAAAATTAAACTTAGAAAATCAGGTTAGTATAAAGATTCCAACATTACCATTTATTTGGACTAATAAAAGTCATACTTGTACAATTAAGCTAGGACATTTTCAAGTCTGGAACACAAATTATTAAAATTATCATAAGTACCATGTTGCCAAGTGTGTAATATCTAGCTCAAAGATTTGCTTATATTAATAATTTATTAATAACTATGGGGAAAATCAAAGGGTATTGATAAGTATCAGCATTAATAGAATATGTATCTATCTAAGCAAAAAACATATAGTAATTGTGCAGAAAAAGAAAACATCCTAATTGTGACAGGTGAGAAAACACTCAACAGAGGCTTACAAAATTACCTGCATCAAACTCAAATTCTGCTCCATCAGCACTGGTATCACTTTGAAGACCACCCCCATTGTCCAGCCCAAGTCCATCTTCATGTTCATGATCCACAGTTGCTTGAGGTTTCACTGGCTGAGTTGGTCTATGTAAGCTAACTCCTTTAAAGGCTGGTGTCACTACAATAAACTTCATCCACTGCCTTGCCAGTGCAACTAAACCTTTCTTTAAAGTTACCAAAGCAGGAAGTCCATCACTCTGTAACAACAATGATGTGGTTAGAAGTAACCTAAAGTAATAACAGTTACCATTTAAGTGCTTTGTATAGATTTGTTCATTTAAATTTCATAATCCCCGTTTAGAGATGCAGAAACTAAAATTTGGGTATCAAGTAATTTGTCTAAAGTCACCCCAAGAAAGTCAGGATTAAGCTGACTATAGAGACCAATCTTTAAACACAACACTGCATTTTTCTGTCACAAAATAACACAGCAGCACCAGGTGAATATGACACTAGATAAAAGGATGAAAAACTGGGATTCTCCTTAAGAAACATTCGATTCACTTTATTATTTTTGACCATATGAAGAATCAAAATGTATCGTGAGCTACTTGGAATATCCACTAAGAAAAAGGAAATAAAATTATTCCTGTCAAAGATTAGGTAACTGCCACCATTTTAACATTTAGAAAAACTAACTACTGGGCTGGCCCTTTAGCTTGGTTGGTTAGAGTGTGGTGTTATAACACTAAGGTCAAGGGCTCAGATCCCCTTACTGGCCCAGCTGCCAACAAACAAAAAAATTAACTACAATAAGTTAAATGCTGGCCATAGATGAAATGAAAGTTAAATGTATCATCAGTAATAATTATATAGTTTAAATATATTTTATCCTACTTGGTGATGACTATAAGAAAGAAATTTTTGGCTATTTTCCTATAGCCTGAAGAGAAGGTACTTAAATTCTCCCCATCCTCTTTCCTATAATTCCTCACATTAGGAGAAATAGCTAATTTGACCGAATAGAGCAATTTACTAGAGGGCAGGAATCACTCCATTTACTTTCTGCAAACATCAGGTCCACTAGCCTGCCTTTTCATTCCTAGATTCAAGTAAGGAGGACCATTTTTCCTCTTATGTGGAAAGCACATCTAGAAGAGCATCCATCCATGGGAAATGCCTGCCATTTTCTCTGTTCTAGCTTCTCTGCCTATAGCTAGATGGGCAAGTACAAGCCTGAGAACCTCCCAGTCTTCAATTCACAGGGAAGGAGAAAAAGCACTATATCAGCAGAAGCTTGGAGAAGAGAAGAGAGATCCTCAAAGCTCTAAAACCTAATCATGATGTATTTTTTCTTTTCTAGGGGCAGAGATGATTTGAATTTATTTTGTACAATTATAAATTCTCCCCTCAATCACTAATTAGTCCTTATTTTATTAAACCATTATGTGAAATCTGCCTCTGGTGGTTACTCTGTCACTTGAAACTCTTTATATCTTTAGCTTCCAAGATATCACTCCTCCCTGGTTCTCCTACTTCTTCCTTTCCTTTTTCAGCATTCCATGTATATATCTATCCAACTTCCTACTCCCCTTTAATTTTGGCATTCTTCAAGATTCTATCCTTGACCAAGTTCTCACTCAACATATCATCCCTAGAAATCTCATCCATGTCTACAGCTTCTACCTAACACCTTCAGGCTGGCAAATGCCAAATCATTCAACTGAGCACATTCTCATCTACTGACCAGTATTTCTAATCAGATTTCTCCTTTGGACTTCCCACAAGCATCTCAAACCCTGTGGATCAGTTGTGCTACAACACAATAGAGACTTCTTTAAAGCTAACATTGTTTCAGTAACTCACCATTGTAGCATCGTCAATAATGGAGTAATTTGCCTGGTGTAGGTAGTGGTGTAGTATATTACATAGTAAACATGAAGGATTTTCTTGGAGAAAGCGAGCAACTTTTGTAAGCCTGTTGTATTTACTTCTTAGGGGAAAATGTACACTTTTATTCTGAAACCAAGCAACAATACCACATTTAGAATATGCATGAAAGATCCTACGAATAAACGATATCCAGTCAGTAAGAATTTGCAGGTCTGACATTTTCCAACAATGATCTACAATAAGGGATCATTTTCAATGAGAAAGTTTGTATGATACCTTGTTATTACTGAAAGACATACCTCTAATGCTTCTGTCATTATGCATCCCATAACAGCACAAATTCTCAAGGTTCCTTCAGTTTCTAGTTTGTTTAAGGATGACTTGAGTTGATCAATGGGAACAAGCCATGCACCAACAGCTGGAGTTGCAGTACTTAAAAGGTTCAGCTGCCTTTTAAAATAAATGAAAATTATTTTTAAAAAGTGTCAAAATTTGTATTTCAAACAATCTTCCACACCAACTGTACTTAGTGGCTATTTTATTCAGGCAAAATTACTTTCTCTTCCTTTTTACCATTGATAAATAAATAAAATATAACTAATAAATGTAAAAAAAAAAAAAAAAGGACAATAGAAAAGAAAGGAAAAAAAATAAAAAGCCTGTCAGAGGTAAAAAGAATAAATCGAAAGTCTAAGGCAGGGTGACGTGTAAAAACAAAACTAAAATATTAGTGAAGAAATTGGGTCAAACAAGGTGTGAATAATGTCTATAGAAAGTATGAAGTAGGAAAGACAGAAAAATTGGCAACCCTAATACTAGATATATCAGAAAAATAATTTTAAAAATATGTGAAACAGATTATATGCTATTTGAAATAAAAAATAAACACCAAGGGATAGTACTACATTTTAAAAACTTTTTACCTAGAAAATGCATGCGTAGGAGATCTCACGTTGGTGGGAGCTGCAAAACTAAACCAAATTTCTTTAATGGTCAACTTCATGCTACATGAATCTGGAGGTGGAGGCATGAGAGGTAGATCTTTTTTCAAATCATCAGATTCGACTCCTTCATCCTATATAAAGTAGAATGCCAAAAACTTATCAATGTTCAGTCCCTTAAAACCACTAACACAAAGGTTACCTAATATTTTAAGAGCAAAACCTTTCCATTAAATCAAGTTCTATGGATAACACCTTTACATAAAACCGGTAATGTGAACCTTGCTCAGCCTAACCTTCTCCTGATTCTGAGAAATATCTATGGATCCTTTAATTTCCAAGGATCAGTCTGAAAAAACACTGCACTATAAACCATAAATCAGAGATCGTAGAACAAGGGACTTTAATTGATCAAGTCTCTCAATCATATTTGTTTAGGGAGGTGAGTGTTAATTTTTCCAGTAAAGAAAGTGAGAGAAAGAAGTCTTACAACTTGCCAGAGCTCATGTAACTATTAAGTTGGAAAATGGTTAACAGAATAAGGTCTTCTGCTTCCTACTGCAATCTGCTTGCCATTCCCTTTAATAGTATATTTCAAATTCCCAAATAAAGTGCCATAAAAAACACTACTGTAACACATGTTCAAATTATACTTTATAATAAAAAAATATTGTTTTCTTATAAGCTAGTCATCTGAATCTGAATTGAGAAATAGAAATAATGTTTTTGAAATGTGCAGTCACAACTCTTCAGCATGCAGGGAGGTAAGAAGTAGGTATTAAAAAAACAGAAAAAAATCTTCTGCCAGTTACATCTACTTAGAGGTCTCTAGTTCACTATTAGATATTGTTGATTAAGATAAGGAAAAGATTGTTTTGCTTTGTTTTGTTTTGTTTTTGTGGGATGATCAGCAAATGAAGAGTATCCACAAACCAGCTTTGAATCCTAAGTGTCACAATGTTATATGAACTAGAGTGTTTTACATATATGAACTAGAGATCCTAGGGGTTTTAAAATCAGCAAACACTAAATACAAATCCACAATCTCTTACCTACAATTCCACAATTTTCCAAGTTCTGAAAACCTAATTTTTTAAAAAAATGTGGCATCTAAAGCTAGTCTGAATTGATAAAAGGCTATTTATCCATTTACCCCACTTGGTGTTTTTATTAATCCTGTGCATAAACACTATTTAATTTCAAGATCGAGCGCTACTCAGATACCACTAGTAATTTATGTAACATATAGTACACACACACATTACTTTTCTTTAAAAAAAAAAAAAAAAATCTGAATTTTCAAATACATCTGGCTCCATGGGTTTCAGACAAGGGGCTGTGAAGAACCAGGCACTGGACATAGAAATATACAGAAGACAGTGTTGGGGAACTTCAAATTTTAAAGGCAGCATAAATTATTGGGTGAGGGAGGCAGTGGTGGTTTGACTTATAGATAATAAACAACTAATTATAATAGTATGTGCAGGTTCAAGCAAAGTAATAATAAATTTAGTTTTAGATTGACTGAATGTGTGGTGCTTATAGCACATCTAAATGATGATATCTAAAAGGCCACTAGATACAGTTCTGGAGCTCAGATGAAGGGTTGGTGCTAAAAGCACAGACAGCGGGAAAGAGAAGTGTTATTAAATTATGGAACTGGCTTAGGAAATGAAATAAGGCAGGGTGCAGACAAACAGCAAAAAGAAAAGAGGAGCCAAGAACGGAACCTGATGAGAACACCCACACTTAAGAAGGGAGAAAGAATCCTATAAGAAAATGGACCAAGGAAAGTAAGAAAACACAAAGAAGGTAATAATAGAGAATTCAAGAAGGACTTTCAACAAGGAGGGTAGGACCTGAGAGATAAGACACCTGAATTTCTGTCAAGTATTTTAGTAGGTCAAGGAGAGTGAAAGAATAGCTAGGTTCTTCCTAGCTCTTTTGTCCAGTGGAGTAGCTACTATATTTTCTTTTTCTTTTTTTTTTTTTTTCCTTTTTGTCTTTTTTACTGACCGGTAACGGGATCGCAACCCTCGGTGTTGCGCCCGCACCGCGCTCAGCCAGTGAGCAGGAACCAGTCTCCACATGGGATCTGAACCCTCGGCGCGAGCGCTGCTGCGCTCCCAAGCGGCACACTCTCCTGCGCCACCGGGCCGGCCCTAGCTACTATATTTTCAAAATTTCCTTAATTAAAGCGAGCGAGCGGCGCACTCTCCTGCGCCACCGGGCCGGCCCTAGCTACTATATTTTCAAAATTTCCTTAATTAAAGTACTAATCCACCCTACCAAACACTTTTAAAAACCTCACAAGAAAACTGTGATTAAACTTGTAAAACTATATGTCAAATAAAAATAAATGTTTTAAAAATAATTTCCAGGAACCTGGCTTCCAGAGGTGAATATACACATGAATACTGCATACTCATGTCACATTTCTTTATCAAAAGTTCATTTCTTTGGAGATTTTTTCTTTCCTCTTCAATTGGTCTAATTTTCAAAATGATCAGAAGTAAATGTACATATGTGTATTTAAGAACAAAATTTACTAAGTTCTTATGATGTGCTAGGTACTGAGTTAAGCCATTCATATATTGTCTCCTTCAATCTTCATAACTCTGTAAGGCCCATATCATTACCACCTTCCTGTCACAGGTGAAGAAACTTAGGAAGAGGTTAAGTAACTTGTGCAAGGTTGCCAATCAGTGGCACAACCTTTCTGCAATCTAGAATTTTGAATATTTTTGTTGCTGTTACTGTATTTATCAACATGAAATTCTATCATAATAAAGATAATAAAGCAGTTGATTACAGGTTATTATCTAGGACTTTAACTGAAATAAGCAGATATTGACAAAAATATTTGTAACTTACATAAAATACTACCACTAATAAAACTAATTATTTAAAAAATGACTTCTAAAATCCTTCAAAACATACAAGGCCTGCTTTTCTTAAATTCTATAAATTCATTAATTCAACAAATATTTATTAAATGTCTAAATGAGCAAGGTATAATGCTAGCTACTGATGGATATAAATATATCTAAGATACATTTCAGATATTATACTCTAGCAGTGGTATATTCACCAACACGATCTGACTAGCATTTAAGCAGATATCATAAATCCAAAATAGGGAAACACAAGCAAATATATTCCATAAATTAATTTTGAATTGAGTATATAGTTTTCTATGTTATTTTTCCAAAGCATTATTATTATTAGAAATTCACCAACTTGTTCATCTGAAACAGAATTTCCATTTAAGTCTGAGGAAGGGCTTGTCCGGTCACAGGGAAGATTATCATCAGAGACATCAGTATTATAGCCACTGCCAGTTGGAGAATCAGAAGAATTATTGGATGTCAGCACGCCAACCCTTTCTGTGACATTAGTTTTACCCATAATCCCAAAACTATTATATAAAACAGCACCAGACTGTCTTCCACCTATAAAAATGAAGAAATTTATTTATTAAAAACAGTGGATAAGTGTCTAAATGCCATACTTTATAATATCTGTATAAAATTTCACAAAGATAATTTTTTTCCTCACCAAGACTTGTCCTTATCTATAAAAGTGATGCATGATTGAATTATCAGGTAAATAAATGTAGGCATATACAACTACTATTAGTATAGTACTTACTATATGTATTATATATGACTAAACCTAAAAGTCTATGTGTAATTCAACCTTCCTATTTTAAAATATTACTTAGTAACATACAAATTTAAAAAAGCAAATATAATTGTACATTGGTATTTTTCAATGAATAAAGGATTTACAATGTTTACATCCTATATGACAAAGATCTACTAATCAAAGATCCAATTTTCAAAGAGGCAAACTTTCAAAAAGCTGGGTGGTCTATTATTTGTGAATTTTTTCTAAATCAAAGATTGTTTTGTTCAGGCACTGAGGTTTGCTCTGCCTAGTTCTGAATCATACAACAGAGGGAAAGCTCCAATTATGCAACTGGGTGGAGCACCCACTCCTGGTAAATAATCCTAGGTGCTACACTTTCTGCTTTATTATTGATTCAGTTTATTAAAAGTCATGATTGTTCAAAACAGTTCAGTAATGTAGGGCCAACTTGTCCCCGCTTAAGAGAACTTGATGAAAATAAATGCTTACCTTTTATGGTTAAATTTTCAAGTCCACATTCAAACATTATCCAACCCCATTTTTCTTGGCTGGGACCTATTCGAGTTACATCTGGAACAGCTTGCTGATCAGTTTCATCCACAAAAGTAAATTCATCCAACTCCTCAAGAGTAAATAAAACTTTGGATTTCTCAAAAGGAATGGCAGTGATGGCACAGGTACCAATGTCTATAATCAAGAGAGAGAAAAATGCACATTTTTAAAGACAGAGGTTTATATTTAAAAAACAAACAATTTAAACACTTGGCACAGTGGTTGATTAAAAAGATATGTAAGTATTCTGTCAAGAAGACAGAAAAATAAAATAAATGAACCAACTTTTAGAACAATGCTGCCTAAGAGGAAGAAAAGAAGATCTATAATTAGTAAATAATTGTTCAAAGGTAGTATGAATTTGCTTCTGAAAAATTATATGGTACTCTAAAAATATAAAGTTAAAAAGCTCCTAAATAATTCAGCCTCATGGTAAAGTAGTTTTAAGTACTTTTCAACATTTTACAAAATAAAAAATTATCTTAATTAATTATCCAGCCTTAGGAAAAACATTACTGTCTAGGAAAATATAATTTATTATAGACGTTGTCATGATTCCCATTGCTTACAGATACAATATGAAAACTAATGTCCTGAGTGCCTGGGAGAAATTTCTATTGTATCTTCCCTTTTTTCATTTCTTTCTCTAATTAGAGCTAATCAATACAGAAAAACAAAAAGAAGAATATAAAAAAATATGGAAATTTACCAGAGATAACTTGTTTACATTTAAAGTAAACTGCCTTCTAGCTCTTTACAGATCATTTTGCAAACTCAGCTTTGGTTCTCATTTTTCATGTAACAGTAATCCATAATAATTTCCTCAGTTCACTACAAACTCTTCAAAGATATTATTTCAATTCCTTTATAATATTCCATCATATGGAAATACCATTCTTTGCATTTCTGATTAGAAAGTCTTTCCTGTTCAGAAAGTAAATATTCACCTACATTTTCCCATAATTTTCTCATTTTTTTATATTTGTCATTAATCCCATAAACTTGTACTGAAATTTGTTGTTACAAGGAGAGGACTTAACTTGAATTTTATTTAAATTTATTGATTAGGTAATATACTTACATAGATCAAAGTTCCAAAAATTATGAAAACTATACAATGAAAAACCTCTAACCCCACACCCTGACACCTACTTACCTTCCTATTGGTAATAAATGTCATAAGATTATTGAGTACCCTTTGACAGATATCTAATGTACATATATGCAAATACATTTACATTTTTTCCCACATTTTTACACAAATGTTCACCTTGGAATTTCATTTGGAGTTCTGTCTGTGATGAGAGTTTTTTCTGGATGATACACCTTACAAAATGATATAAAGTTATGCTTATGGTCTTTACAACTTAAGTGCAAACTGGTTATCACTGCAACAACAGAGCTAAGTCTTTTTTTGCTCAAGCTTCCATAATTTGTAGCAGTTTTAGGACAATGGATCTTAGGTAGTCATGAAAGTCTCTTGAAAACCTCAGGTCAAATGCTTTGGCCTCATATACAAGGATGGTGAAATAAGTCTTGAGAATGTCACAGTAGTTACACAGACCCAGAATGAAGACAGGAATCATAGTACCTTCAGAACCTACAGGACATAGTGAGCAAATTCAAGGAACTCATTTGTTCATTCAGGATTGGTCACCTGTCCCACATAGAGATTTTAGCATAGCAATAATCCCAAACAAGACTGACTAACCTAATTTTTTTCTGGATTGAATCTCTTACAATCTGAGATCATTTAAGCCTCTAAATGAGAAAATGTACTAAATAGAGTCAAAAAATATTGAAATGGGGGGGAGGGAGAGGGAGGATAGGGAGAGTTGGACAAGGGACATAAAGAATAAGTACAATGTGTAACAATATACATACTAGTAATATAGATTTGATCAACATACATCAACATTGAATCCCAAAAATATGTATAATCAATTATGATTCAATAAAAAAAATACATATCGAAATGGCACATAACGAATATTTTTCTCTTTTACTTCATGAGGGACTTTAAGAGGATTGTCTCTCACCCTTATTCCTGCTATATTTTACAGACTAGGACACCTGGTTTTGATTAATAATGCAATTAATTCTTTTTAATAAAGTTTTACAAACAACAATTCAAAAAAGTAAGAAAGACTATAAAGATCATGTTCTCTCTGTTCTATTATGACGAAGCTGATAGTATGAAGAAAACACATAGGATACAGAACCAGTTCCTAATTTGGGGCCACACCACTTACTTTCTCACCAAAGTTTACTATCCATTCAGCACAGAATGTGAGTACTGAGTAGTTAAATACCACACGTTCAATATATACAGAAATATCTTTCTCCTTCTTATAACATACTTAAATTGAAGCAATATTCAAAGGAAAAAATCATGCTCTCTTTTGCAAAATCCTGTTACATTTATACACATCAAAGAAAAACACATTTGTTGTAGAATCCTACCTGTAGTATCAAGACCCCTAAGTTGCCCATGAACTCGATGAATGTTTAACTTGGCTGCAATTTCTTTGCCTTTTTCTGCTCCAGCATTTGATCTGAGAGATCCAGATGACTGAGGCTGCATCTTAGTGACATGAACATACCTATCAAAATTTGATGTTCTACCAGGTTCTGCATTGTTTGAAGTCTCTTCAATCACACCTCTTCACGAAAAAAGAAGAGTACAACGGTTAACATTTAAATAATTAAGTTCAGTGAAAACATTTAACTCAATGGTTTACTTCTTCAAAGCATGAACATACCTATCAAAATTTGATGTTCTACCAGGTTCTGCATTGTTTGAAGTCTCTTCAATCACACCTCTTCACGAAAAAAGAAGAGTACAATGGTTAACATTTAAATAATTAAGTTCAGTGAAAACATTTAACTCAATGGTTTACTTCTTCAAAAAACCACCCCACTATTTTAATTCAGCCAATATTAATAACAAATTCTTCAATGTTCACTGAAAAATACTATGAATAAAAACAGTACAAACTTTTAAAAACATTCTTTACTAATCTATAAAGTAGAATTTGAAGTCCCACAACCAGTTTTGAGTTTTAACATTACCATTTTCAGAAATATATTAAAAAGATGATCAAGGCTTGCTTTTATATCCAACAAGATAATCATGGCTCAAATTAATAAAGTCCTCCTTACCGGTTCATACGAACTTGTGTAGCAATTCTGTCAAAACACAAAGCTACTAGGGAAACATGAGTCACACTTCTGCTAGGTGCTGTAGTTGGAGATTCTTCCACTGAGGCTTGTAACAAACATAAATTTACCTAAAACACAAAATGTCACAAATTTCAAAATTGAGAAGTAAAAAGTTATCATTTAAACATAAAATATACAAAAAAACAAAAACCTACTGTTGAGAATGGCATATCTATCTAAGAGTGATGAAGGGAAAGGTTATAAATAAAATAATCAGAATTAAATTTTTACTGGATTGGTATGGAACATTTTACTAAATGTTACCCAATATTCTGCTTAAGTAAACTACTTTCATTACATTAGATCATCAAGGTAATAAAATATACTTTTTTGATATCAGAAGCAGTTCCACCACTATTCACTTTGATAAATGCAAATGGCAAAAACCACCAAAATTCTCTCCTCTTTCAGGAAAATCTTTTAAAATATTTAATTGTTACCTTTGGTATGCTAACATTCGCTTGAAGACCCTTAATTGTTACATTATCTTGTTTCATTGTAAGATTTGTTTGTACTTGTCCTTGGTTAGTTGTTCCTATTGTCGGGTGCTCAGTTTTTGTTCCTCGAACATCTTGTTTGGAAGATAACTAAAAAGATTGAAAGAATTATTTCACAGACCTTTCAGAATTTCAATATCATCTGCAATAGCAACTTGCTTGTTCACTGTGTCCTTTCTCTGTCCATCTATAGGCCAGCTGCCATCTGGTTTAAACACCCCATCTTAAAATCCAAACCTTAGAAAAGCTAGGAAATAGTAATCCTGGTAGTTTCAGGGTTAAGAAAAGTAATACATATTAAAGTGAAATCAGCCTATAAAGAGATAGACAGAAAAAATGGTAATAGTAATTATAAGCAATTTTTTAGGATCACTAAACTCTACTGACCTGAAGACAGATTTGATTTCTGATAATTGGCTCCTCATTGGCTGGGAATATTTTCAAATTTCTTTTTTTTTTTGTACTTTTCTATCCTAACTACCTATCACATTAAATGTCAATATATATTGAATAATTACTTCGCTAAAAATAATCAGCCTTACTTTCACCCCTCCTCTGGTCCCCAGTCCAAATATGATCCAGATAAATTTTAAAATCAAATGGAGAATTACCAGAAGGACACCAGGATATGACTGTTAAAGCAATGAGCTTCATAGCTAGAACCACAGTATAATATCACACAATATAATACATAAGATACATAATATCACATATAACATTAATATTAATATATAATTTTAATTTTATAATATATAATATTAACATATATAATATATATATCACATATATTATATATATATATATAAAATATCCCATATATTATATATATATAATATCACACTAGAATATCACACAATAGGAGGTAGTGACCTGACTCACTGAAGTGAACAAGAATAGTCTCAAAAATACTATGAAGATACAAGTCATCTAGTCATACAGGAAAGTCAAAAAATAAGCAGCTTTGCTTTCTTAGAAAAGTTAAGGTACCAGTTCTATAGAATGTTCATTCACTTAGGGTCAAAGCTTGTACTTTTCTATCCTAACTACCTATCACATTAAATGTCAATATATATTGAATAATTACTTCGCTAAAAATAATCAGCCTTACTTTCACCCCTCCTCTGGAACCCAGTACAAATATGATCCAGATAAATTTTAAAATCAAATGGAGAATTACCAGAAGGACACCAGGATATGACTGTTAAGCAATGAGCTTCATGGCTAGAAACACAGTATAATATCACACAATATAATACATAAGATACATAATATCACATATAACATTAATATTAATATATAATTTTAATTTTATAATATATAATATTAACATATATAATATATATATCACATATATTATATATATATATATAAAATATCCCATATATTATATATATATAATATCACACTAGAATATCACACAATAGGAGGTAGTGACCTGACTCACTGAAGTGAACAAGAATAGTCTCAAAANAATATCACACAATAGGAGGTAGTGACCTGACTCACTGAAGTGAACAAGAATAGTCTCAAAAATACTATGAAGATACAAGTCATCTAGTCATACAGGAAAGTCAAAAAATAAGCAGCTTTGCTTTCTTAGAAAAGTTAAGGTACCAGTTCTATAGAATGTTCATTCACTTAGGGTCAAAGCTCTTTAGAAAAAGCTTGAACTATGCTACTTTCTAAATAAAAGAAAAAATAAAGCTACATTTAAAAAAATAAGTATTTTTACTACTATTCAATTCATGATACAGTTATATGTGCTATCCATAAAAATATGGAACCAATGACATAAAAAGGCTTTTAAAACATGCCCATGTATTTCAATCTAACTTGCTAATTCAATTTTGATACATTCAAACTTTTTCAAGTTTGGATATTATGCACACATGATAAATACTCAATTTGCTATGCCATCGAATAAAAATGTTCTTACGTTTTCTGAGAAGGTAGTTTTGCTGTTTTGGACAGCTTCTCTAAGGACTTTGGCATGAAGATCATCTACAATTGCAGCTGGATGTCGGGTACTAGCACAATGAACCACTGCTTCAATATATCTGAGGAAAGAACAAAAAGCAAATGAAAAATTTAAATATCCCTTAACACTGTGGCTCAGTTTATCTAAACATATGAATGAAATTTAGCACCATTTAAGTACAACAATTCCTCAATCTGAAATGAGAATGCCTGAACCACATTTTTGAAATTATACAGGGGTAATATTTCCGAGATTATATCCCCACCATCGCTACCTCCACCCCAAAATGAAATGAAGTGTTCCAGATTGGGAGATTCTTTTACAATTTCCTGAAGATGATTTCCTATTATACAGGGGTAATATTTCCGAGATTATATCCCCACCATCGCTACCTCCACCCCAAAATGAAGTGTTCCAGATTGGGAGATTCTTTTACAATTTCCTGAAGATGATTTCCTACGTTTTTCATTTGTGTGACATCTCATAAAAATTTTAACAATATAACTTATCATATAAAACTATGCACCTTTGCAGTAAAAAGAAGACTTTAATAAAAACTGGTCCCCAGTGAACCCCTTCTCTTTTCAACTCTTTTAGCACTCAGTGTTTTCCACACTACTTTGTATTCCATTATGTTCCATTCTTGCTTTCATTCATGGTTTGTCTCCCTGGACAGACAATGAGCTTCTTGCAAGACAGAGTATCTATTATTTCCCCTTCATCCCTTCATTAACTAGATAGTATTAAGAGTATGAAACATAGTAGTTAGTTCCTGAGTATTTGATCATTTTATGCTCATTAGCCCAAGAGCAAAAAATAGAAGACATAATACAATATCACTTTTCAGGCTGAGAAAGCAACAAATAACTAACTGAAACATAGACCTCTTTGAATATATTTTCATTTTTACTCAAACAAACTAGCTATCAACAATCTTCTATATGAACATATATCACCTATATCATATACATTAATCATTTTATAAAGTAATAGTTATATTTTTAGACAAAATTAATACCTGTCTAAAGCTTCAGCCACCAGGGGAGTCAGAACAATATCAATGGTTCCTTTTACTTCAACTATGGCTGTTGTCCTGGTCTGGGAGACGGGTTGATCCAGTGTCCATTCTTCTGTTAATGTTTCGTCATCTGTATTATCAACAGCTTTCTTTTCCAGCGGAGTATATGGTGTACTATAAAATGTAACAAGCAAAGCATATATTAAAAAGACCATGAACAAGAATAGAAGTTGGAGCTTCCTTAAGATGAGTGAACTACATTTGTTTCAACTAAAACTTTCATGGAACTGGACTCAATGTTTTATGTCCCAAATTCTTTTCAATGACAGACCAAACAAGGTACTAAAAAGCAAATTGATCAAAGATAGCTAATATATCAAATGAGAAAAAAATGTTTTGATATATTCACTTGATGGACCTTTTCCAAAATAAGAAAAATATAATACTGAATTCTTATTAGTCCCCAATTTTCATATGCCAAGTTAAGGTTTGCATAGTATATTTAATTGAATTGTTACTGATTGCTTATAAATGTAGGCAAAGCCATGACAGACAAAAGAGCTGAATTATTTGGGGTAATTTATTCTTTTTTTTAATTGACACATATAAACATATTTAGGGAGTACAATTTGATGTTTCAATACATATACGTTATATAATAATCAAATCTTTCAATCCTCCAATATGAAGGTTTAAAGTCAAAAAGGTCAAAAACATCAACAGCTACAATTAGTGGCTAAGGAACACACGAAAGATAAAGATGTAAATTAAGGCAACCAAAATACAAATTGTTAAGGGGAGGGGGAAAAAAGTCTAGAGTATTTTTATGTGATCAAAGTTAAATTGTCGTCAGCTTAAAATAATCTATTATAACTATAAGACTCTTTATGTTAGCCCTATGGTAACCACAAAGAAATAAATTACAGCAGATTCACAAAAGAGGAAGAGAAAGAATGGGTAATTTATTCTTAAAGTTCATACTCAAGTAAAGAATGGTTAGTAATAAGAATAAACTCTACCCATCTCATAATCAAGAAAAATGACTTTAAATTTTAAAAGTATGCAATTTTTACTTACGTTGAAGTTGATCCTGAAAGTTGCAAGCCTCTGTCCAGCAAGGAATTAGCTGTGAGTCCCTGTTTAATAACCTAGAATAATATAAATTACGTATAGTCTAGAATTTTAATATTATTTCTCTAATTTTACATCACTGATAGTTGTAAATATCTAAATTACCTTGTTAATATGATTTTGATATATTCAATATAAATATTTAATGGACAAATTGAGAAAATCACAGAAAATATTGAAATGGCAATTTCATTTCCTGTTCATTCAACTAAACGACAGAGCGGGGTTGTAAGGGTTGAGAAATGAGTAAAAGACTTAAAAGTAAGTGTTTCAAACATCTTTCCTCCAGAGTTCCTTTTCAAATTGAGCTTTTCTCAAGCTAATTTTAGGCTTCTCCTAAGTGGAAAGGAGACCCAGAGAAACATTAAATTATAGGAAAAAATTTTAAACCCATAAAAGATAAATTAAATAAATAAACCTGAGTAACCAAACTGAACCCTTGTAAATGCTAGTCAGTTATTTAACAGAGAAAACTTTCTTACCTCCTATGTTCTGTTCTTTTTTTCCTAACCATCCCAGCCTCTGCTAACCACCATTCTACTCTCTACCTCTGTAAGATCAACTTTTTTGGATTTGACATGCATGAGATCATGCAGTATTTGTCTTTCCATGCCCGGCTCATTTCAGTTAACATAATGCCCTCCAGATCTATCCATGTTATCACAAATGACAGAATTTCCTTCTTTGTTATGGCTGAATAGTATTCCACTGTGTATACGTACCATACTTTCTTTATCCATTCATCTATTGATGGACACTTAGGTTGGTTCCCTATCTTGGCAACTGTAAATAGTGCTGCAGTAAACATGGGAGTGCAGATATCTCTTTGAAAAACCAATTTCATTTCCTTTGGATAAATACCCACTAGTGGCATTGCTGGATCATACAATAGTTCTACTTTTAATTTTGTGAGGAACCTCCATACTGTTTTCAACAACAGCTGTACTAATTTATATTTCCACCAACAGTGTAGGAGGGTTCCCTTTTCTCTGCATCCTCAACAACACTTATATTTTACCTTTTTGATAATAGCTACTCTATTCTGTGTTCTATTTTCGAACTATAAAGATATGAATTCCCTGACCTATCAAATTAAATTAGAAAGATTTGACTGACTAATCAAATTAGAAATATTTGTCTGCCTAATAAAATTAGGAAAATTTATTTAAAATATTGAAATAATTCCATCTTCTCAGGTACTATTCTTCACGGCAACTACGTTTCAATTTCATACTGCAAAATTCATATACCAACATATTTCCACATGGCATAAAGAGAACATTTTGAAATCTTAGCACAGGCAATTAATTTATCTTGAGCAAGATAAGAAATGAACACAACCTTAAAACGAAAACTTTGCAACTGTTACTAATGTTTCTTTCTCCCTCAGTACATAAGAGGGTACTTCAAAAGTTCATGGAAAAATAGAATTAAAAGATAATACAAAACTTTCCATGAACTTTTAGAAGACCCCTCATATTACTCAAATGCATATATACATATGTATTTGTGAGGATTTTCAACTATACTTCAAAAGTTCATGGAAAAATAGAATTAAAAGATAATACAAAACTTTCCATGAACTTTTTGAAGACCCCTCATATTACTCAAATGCATATATACATATGTATTTGTGAGGATTTTCAACTACACTTACCACATTTCCATCATTACTAATACATCTTAAGTCCAAGCCCCTGTTTCCCGCACAGGCTACTGCAATAGCCTTCTAGGTGATCACCCCATTTCCTCTCTTGCTTAGCAACAATTCAATTTCACTTAGTAGCCAAAGCACATGAGTGATCACATCACATTTACTTAAATCTCTCAAGAGTTTCCCAATGAAATGAAAATAAAATTCAAACGTGTAATGCTGTAGTCTATAAGTCCTGAATGATCTGGCCCTTGTTTAGGTTTCCAGCCTCATCATAAGAAGTCTCCCTGCTCACTGTTACTCAGGCACACTGACCTCTTTCCCACTTTAGGGCTTTAGGAAAGCTGTTGTTTCTGCCTGGAATTCAGTACCCCTAGGTCTTCCCATCCTCAATTCTTCCTCATCTTTCAAGTTTCAGTTTAAGTACTGCCTCCTCAGACAGACCTTCCATGTCAATGCAATCTAGGTAGCACCAACCCCTGCTATTCTCTATTGCAGCATCCTTTGATTATGTGCATAATTCATTTTGTGATAATACTCATCTATTTATTAACTGTCTGCCTCCCATCTCAAAACTGTAAGCACCATGTCCATTTCCCTCACCATTGTACATCAAATGCTTGGTACACAGTAGTACATAATACCTGAATTAACAATAGTTGAATAAGTTGAGCATCACATATTGCACACAGGTATTGATATTCAAGGTTGTGTCCCACAGATACATACAAT